TATCAGGTAAAGTAGAAGAAACTAGAAATGAAAGAAAAATAAATTCACAACAGAGAAAAAGAAACTAAAAAACCCAGCCAAATCAAAATTTTAGAGCTGAAAAATATATCTGAAATGTAAATATTGCTCAATTGACACAATAGCAGAATGTAGATGACAAAATAAAAAGACCAGAAACTGTAAGACAAATCTATAGAATTTTTTTTTATCTGAAGAATAAAAAGGAAAATATACTTAAACAATGAAGAGAGCTGTGGAGAAACTATAAGGTAATACCAAAAGTTCTAACACAAAAATCATGAGATTCCCAGAGGAGAGAGCAAGATTGAGGCATAAAATATACTTGAAAAGAATGTCAAAAATTTCTCAAACTTGGTGTTGATTTACACTTAAGGTTACAAAATGCTTGGCAGCATACAAGAAGAATAAACTTCAAGAATAGCTACATGCCTAGATACATCACAATCATAATTCTTGAAAACCAAAGATAAAGAAATAACTCCTGAAAATTTCTAAAGGAAAACAGCAGAGAAGAAATGATTTAAGATCAGGTGGTTTCACATCAGAAATCATAGGAGTAAGAATACAGTGCGTCCATAGCATTCAAATGCTGAACGAGAAGACTGTCAACCCAGTAGTCTATATATCCAGTGAAAATAGACTTCAGTGATAAAGACAAAATTAAGACAATCATGCACGGAAGGAAGGAAAGTCAAGGAATTTATCAGATTATTTGTTTAATAAGAAACTGTAAAGGAATTTCTGCAAGCTTAAGGGAAATGACACCAGAGGGAGTAATAGAGAGGAAAGGAAGGACATGGTGGATAGAAATAAGATGAAGAGTTTGTCTATTTCAGTTTTCATTCTGAAAATAAAAAATTTCTTCTATTTTTTTTAGAAGACATGAAGAAAGAGAAAGATATTTTATCTTCATCTATGTACAAAGGATTTGATTAATTAATAACCTAATCAATTTAAACTTCTTAATTCATTTGTAAATTGTATCAATTTATTGGAAACAAATGAATTTATCTAATCTGTTTATTCAGAGAAAGGAAGGAAGGAAAAGGAGAATTTATCTCCACCCAAGTGGAAAATACATACCTGAAGAAAAATCAGACTTGGATTGTATAAAAGCAATGTTTAGTACCTTGGCATTATGGAAAATAGAGTTTTGTCCATACAAGAATTAATATTTGATCCTCTGTAATGTTATTTATGAATTACTTCAGTTATTGTTATTCATATTTATCTTACTTGTTTTGCAGAGAAAATAAAAGAAAATGGTGAGTTTCAAATTTTGATCCACTTACAAAGACATCGTTGCAGCAAACCCAGTTTTAGACAGCAGTAAGGAAAGGGTTCCAGTATCTTCACATTGTATAAGGAAAAACTTCCCCCGGTATACCAATCTATTTGAAACTGTTCTATTTGCAATTTGCTTCAATTTAATCTGTAATAGGTTTGTTCCTATTTGTTTTTCCAAATTGTCAAAATTTTTGTCTAATTTTTTTTTCAGAGACAATGAAGGAAGAAAATAAGCCAGAGCAAGATAGGCCTTTTATCTTCACATAAATACAAATTATGTAACTAAAGCAATGTCAGCCCTTGACTCTATGAGAGTAACTCTATGGGTATTTTGGCATTTTGTTAGAACAAAGGGCTTTGTTCATGAGTAAATGAATTGATTAGACCCTCTGTTATTTCATTTGTAGATTTCTTCTACTGATTTATTTTTTAGTTCTACTGAGATAAAATTTATATAACATTAAATTAACAATTTTGAAGTGTACAGTTCAGTGGTATTTGGTACATTCACAATATTGAGTAACTATCACTTCCATCTAGTTCCAAAATAATTTTATCACCCTAAAAGTAAATTCCGTACTCGTTAAGAAGTCACTTCTCATTCCCCTACTCCTTAGTCTCTGGCAACCACTGGTCTGCTTTCTGTCTCTGTGATCTCATATGCATGGGATTATACAATAATTTCTGTCTGCCTTCTTTCACTTGCATAAAGTTTTTGAGGTTCAGTCATGTTGTAACGTGTATTCGTACTTCTTTAAGGCTTTAAGCCATCTTTAAGGCTGAGTAAAAGTTCGTTGTATGGGTATACCACATTTTGCTTATCCGTAAGTTGTTGATGGGCATTTGGGCTTTTTATACCTTTTGATTATTGTGAATGGTGTTGCTTTGGATATTTCTATACATGTATTTGCTTGAATGCCTGTTTTAAAGAATTGGGGGTTTATATACTTAGCAATTGCTGGGTTATATGGCATACAATTTTTTTACTTTTTGAGGATCTGCTAAGCTATTTCCCACAGAGATGGCACCATTTTACATTACAATCAGCAATGTATTAGAGTTCCAGTTTCTCTCCAATCTCAATAGCACTTGTTATTTTTCAATATTTAAAATTATAGCCATACTAGTGCCTGTAAAGTGGTATCTCATTGTGGTTTTGATTTGCATCCCCCTAAGGACAAAAGAAGTTGAGCATCTTTTCATATGCTAATTGGCATTCCTCGGAGAAATATCTATTCAAGTCCTCTGCCATTTTTAAACTGGGTTCTTTTTCTTTTTGTAGTTGAGCAGTAAGAGCTTTTTTCTACATATATTTCTGATACTGGGCCCTTAAAATATATAATTTGCAGATATTTTCTCCCATTCTGTACCTTGTCTCTTCACTTTTTCATCTTTTGATGCACAGAAGTTTTCAATTTTTTTATTAAGTCCAATTTCTCTGTTGTTGTTTTCTTTTGTTGCCTGTGCACTGGTGTCATTTCTAAGAATCCATTCTCAAACCCAAGGTTATGAAAATGTAACTTTATGTTTTCTTTTTAGAGTTTTGTAGTTTTAAGCTCTTGCATTTAAGTCTGATTCATTTTGAGTACATATTATGAATGTAGTAGAACATAAAGCAGTGAATAAGAGTGAATTAATTACATGAATTAATAGCCAGAGGTTTCTCATGATGTTAAATGACTAATTGGATTTTCAAATAATGTGGTTGAAATAAAAATAATATGTAGGGCTTCCCTGGTGGCGCAGTGGTTGAGAGTCCACCTGCCGATGCAGGGGACGTGGGTTCGTGCCCCAGTCAGGGAAGATCCCACATGCCGCGGAGCGGCTGGGCCCGTGAGCCACGGCCGCTGAGCCTGCGCGTCCGGAGCCTGCGCTCTGCAACGGGAGAGGCCACACCAGTGAGAGGCCCGCGTACCGCAAACAAAAAAAAAAAAGAAAAAAAAGAAAAGAAGAAAATAATATGTAGTATACTCTGTTTAACTTTTTGAGGGTCAGCCAAACTCTTTCCATAGTCTTGCTACATATTACACAGTATTACATAGCACTACATAGTATTAGGATTTGAGAGTGCTGCTGTACTCCAACACTTCATTCTTCTACTGTAAATTTCTTTCTCTAAAAACAAAATACACCGGCAAATGCATGCCCCATTTTTTCTCTTTTATCACATATTAAGTTAAATTAAAAGAAAATAAATTATTTATGAATCATTGGAGTAGGTTGGTTAAAAATAACTCACAATTATACGCTTAAAACTTTCTACTGGAGAGACCTGGTAATGAGAGAATTATATTATAATGAAAGTCAAAGCAAATAATAACAAAGTGAATGAGAGAGGGGCCAGATGCAGACAAAACAGTTTTACCTTTCATAGAAAATAGAAAATGGATATTATTAATACATAGTAGAGCAACAGTGATCATATAACAGAAGAGGAGGCCTACCCTCCTGTATAAACCTTTAACGATTTCCAGACGTATCAATGTCAAAGGCAATGAAGAATTAGAGTGCCTCATGGAGTTGAAAATAGAGTGTACATGGAAACAACTTTTATGAATTTTCCCAGTATAAATTTTACTGCCATGTACTCAATAATCTAGGAACTTGCTCATCACACAAACAAAAGACAACTAACACTTCATCTTTATAAAAATTGAATTTCTCTAAAGAAAAAAATTTCTTAACTATTTGTTACTTAAAAGGGCTCCGAAATAATGGCTGGCTCTACCTCTTATGATCCTAAGGAGGAATTCACCTTTTATAGAGCTATTTCCAGAGACGAAGGATGTCCAGTTTGCTTTTAAATGGCCTTACTTTTAAATATGAAGTCATTACTAAGCCTCACCCATCATTTGACATGTTGTTCAACAAAGAGGATGAAAAGCTTTTTTGCGGCCTCTCCCGTTGCTGAGCACAGGCTCCGGACGCGCAGGCCCAGCGGGCCATGGCTCACGGGCCCCGCCACTCCGTGGCATGTGGGATCTTCCCACACCGGGGCACGAACCCGTATCCCTTGCATTGGCAGGCAGACTCTCAACCACTGCACCACCAGGGAAGCCCTGAAAAGCTATTTTTTTAAATGATGCTGAGGACTTCCCTGGTGGCACAGTGGTTGGGAATCCACCTGCCAATGCAGAGGACATAGGTTTGAGCCCTGGTCTGGGAAGATCCCACATGCCGTGGAGCAACTTAGCCCTGCGCCACAACTACTGAGCCTGCGCTCTAGAGCCCGCGAGCCACAACTACTGAAGCCTGCACACCTAGAGCCCGTGCTCCACAATAAGAGAAGCCACTGCAATGAGAAGCCCACACACCGCAACGAAGAGTAGCCCTTGCTTGCCGCAACTAGAGAAAGCCCCCGTGCAGCAGCAAAGACCCAACGCAGCCAAAAATAAAATGTAAATAAATAACTGTTTAAAAAATGATGCTGAGCTGCCCAGAGATAATACAGAGAACAGAACAGATTATTTTATTGGATAAAATAGTTAATTTTGATGTCAGACAGACTTTGGATAAGGTTCTGACTCTGAAATAAGCAACTGTGGGGAGCTCAGCAAGTAATGTATCCTTGCTGTAACCTCAGTTTACACTTCTGCATAAGTGTAATAACTTACCCGGAGCACTTTTGATGATCAAATGTAATGCTACTTCTAAAGCATGTATCACAGAGTCTAGTATGCGGAAAGCACTCAATGAATGTCAATGGTAATTGTCATGATGGTGGTGATGATGGTGATGATAGCAATGATGTTATTAAGTCTTAATAAGGACTTTAGGAAATCATTTTGTGGGATTTTAAGTTCAGTCATGATAAATTAAAAATTCTTTATCTACTTTACCACTTGGCAAAGAGCAATGTTGACCCCTATATATTTTACAGTAAAACACCCAGAAAATAAATGTTTTTTTCTCTCTAATGTGGCTAACCTATTATATATAGAATAGGTGAAGAGATTTTGGGGAAGATTTTGTGTTTGTTTTGTTTCTGTTTCATAGTGATTTTTATATTACTCTTTTTTATTTTTCAGATCAAATTAAGAAAGAAAACGGTAAATTTAATGATTTTTTACAAAATATGATCTTCATATTAGCTGTTTCATAAGAATTCTTATATTACTCTTTTTATTTTTTCAGATCAACTTAAGAAAGAAAATGGTAAACTCTTTTTTTCAATTTATTTATTTTGGGCTGTATTAGGTCTTCGTTGCTGTGCATGGGCTTTCTCTAGTTGTGGCGAGGGGGGCTACTCTTCATTGTGGTGCACTGATTTCTCATTGCGGTGGCTTCTTTTGTTGCAGAGCCTGGGCTCTAGGTGCATGAGCTTCAGTAGCTGTGGCACGCAGGCTCAGTAGTTGTGGCACACGGGCTTAGCTGCTCCATGGCATGTGGGATCCTCCCCAACCAGGGCTTGAACCCGTGTCCCCTGCATTGGCAGTTCTTAACCACTGCACCACCAGGGAAGCCCAGAAAATGGTAAACTTTAATGACAATTTATAAGATGTGATCTTTCTGTAGTGACTTTTCTTGCTTCCTCCCTTTTCCGTTCCTCCTACTTCCTCTGTATAATTTTCTCTTTTGTGATTTTTATTCATTCTTACTGTATTACAACTTCCATTAGCTGTTTCTCTCTTTGTTCTTCTCTCATCAGTTAATTTGCTTTTCCCATTCATTCTTCTCTTTATCTAATGTATTATTTTTTGATTTTCTCCATGCCAACAATAATAACTCCTTCTCATGGCTCTGAGATGAGCAAAATGTTAATGAGAATATATCTGAAAGAGCTCTTGTGGTGCATACTGTGCCCACAGTCTGATTCTAAGAAAAATTCAAAAGCTCTTCTATGCAGGACACTTTTTAAAAAGTACAGTAGATTGTTCCTTGTAGAGAACGCCACTGTTTTCTACCTTGTGACTGAAGCCTCAGTTGGCTGCCGCAGGGGTGGAGATTTATGGCATAGTGTTACAGAGTCTTCGTTTTGCATTTAAACAGACCTGGGTTCAAATCATTGATCTGTCCATTTAGCAACAGAAACTTCTTCATGTTATTGACCCCTTTGATTCTCAGATCTTTCTTTTCTGAACAGAGGAGCACTATTTCACAATTATTTTGCTAGTATTAATTAATTACATAAAGCCTTTAGCAAATATTTAAGTCACTGGAAAATTGAATAAATTGTAGCTTGTATTGCATGACAACATTGCAGGTGATGATAATCATGACTCTCAGTATTCTAAATTAGATTTGAAAGAATACTTCATGGAGGAATTTGATAATTTCCCTCTTGAATTTTAACTGTAAAATTATCTATATTAACACATAATATGTTTTCTTTCTTTTTTTTTTGAAATGTGTTGGAGAAAACAGTATATCACCCTTCCAAGTGAGTTTAATTTTTCTTTTCTCTGTAACATTAAAATGAAGTTTTTACTTTTGTTTTTCAGAAAAATTGCAAAAGGAAATTGGTAATTGTATTCTAATAGTTAACTATTTGCAAGATTATGTCCTCCTCTGGTGATCCCTTGCTTCTCTTCATTCTTTCCCCTTAACTCCTTATTTTAGGTATCTTTTGCATTTCCCTTTTGCCTCTGTATATTGCAGCTATCATTTTAGGAATAATTTACCTGCTTACCTTGATTAAGTCCTTAAAATCATGTGATTCAACTTTATTTTATCCATGAAAATAATTTCAGAAGGGAGCAATGGCTTGACTAATGATAGAAATGATTATGGTAAACTCCTCAGAAGAATGCATGTCTTTTTTCTGTATCTTCATCTCTTTGGGAGTCCCCATCTTACATGTGCATCTCCTTTCAGATGAGAGGAAAGCTCAATTTAGGAATGGTAAGTAACTCAGAAGTTCTTTCATGGGATCAAATTCCACAAATAATAAGACACCTACCCTTTTTTAAACCTCCTTCCCAGAAAAAGTCAGGCATAATATACCATTGCATGTGCTCATTGTGTAGCAGCATAAATGGAAGAGAATCTGTAAAATTGAGTTAACTCATTTTCTTTCTTAGAGTATCTTTTTTACTGAGATGGAAAAGAAAAAAAATGTAGTTGTTTTGATGGATATTTCCCAAGCTTTCCTTCCTTTCTCTTCACTTCCCTCACCACTCTTTTCTTTGCTGTTTCAGTCTTTGCCTCACTCTTTTCAATTCTTTATTTTTTCACATCTTTAGTCTTTGTCTCGCTCTTTTCAGTTCTTTATTCTTTCACCTCTGTTTTTCCTAATTCCTCACCTTTCTCCTTTCCTCCTTGCATTCCTTCCATTTCGTCCATTATTCTTTCTTTCCGTCTTCATTTCTCAAACTATCCACCTTTCTTTCCATCATTTCTTTATTTTCTATGTTCTCTTTTTCCCTTTTCTTCCTTCTCTTGCTTGTAGCTTGATTTTATTTCTAACTTCACCTTTTTTCTGTACATATACACAAACCCAACCATTTTCAAGTTAAAGGGATGGTCACACTATGGTGAGGAAGGAAAGGGACAGAGAGATAAATAAGTAACTGAATACTTAGAGAATGCCAGTGATGATAGAGGAAAAGATATGAGAAGGACCAGGGAAGGGTAATAACATTTTCTCATTTTGTTCACTTGCAGCCTGGCAGAAGACATCATTGTACCCCGGTGAGTACATTGGCCTGAAGATGATTCTAAGATATATAATTAAGCTCCTAAATTCTATGAAACATCATGCTAACTACCACATGACAGAGAAAAATATAGAAAGCACAACTTGTGGTCCATAGCAAACATAGCAAAAAATGATAATTTTTAAAGTATTTTTCTTCTCATCTCTTTCTCACCTCCATCTCACAAGACACAAGTTAATTAAAGCAGATACCAAGAAATGAAAGCAGAGTATAATTTTCTCTTCTGTGATTTTTATTTATTCTTACTATATTACAACGTCAGTACTCCTTGCATAACTCAAGGTTATGAACTTTTTTCTCTAATTTTTCTACTGAAAATTTTATAGTTTTAACTGTTACCTTTAGGTCTATAACACATTTTGAGTTAATTGTTTTGTGTGGGTTAAGGGAAAGATCTAAATATGTCTTTTTGTATGTGGATATCCAATTGTGTTAGCACCAACTCTTGAAAAGAGTGTACTTTTCCTCATTGAATTGCATTGGACCCTTTTGAAAAAAATCAATTGATCATAAACTGACTTCTGGACTCAAAATTCTGTTCTGTTGCTCTAATTTAGTTTACTCTTCTCTTTTTTAGTCCTTTCAGGGAGAAGCTTAGGCTATTGGTTTAAGATAATACTCCTTTTCTACTTCAGACATTTAAAGCTCTAAATTTCCCTCTAGACACTACTTTTAGCTGCATCCAATAAAGTTTGGTAGGTAGTGTTTTCATTTTTATTCAATTCAAAATATTTTCAATATTTTCTTTTGATTTCCTTTTTGATCCACAGATTATTTATAAATATATTGACTAATATCCAAATGTGGTTTATATCTAAAATTTACTTCTGTTTTTTATTCCTAATTTAATTTTATTGTAACAAGAGATCCTCCTTTTATGGGCATTCTTTTATCAATCATTTGAAATATTTTTTCATGAATGAGTGTGTCCTAATTTGATGTGTGCCTTTGTTACTTTCCATGTAAAGTGATTATTTCTGACAATTTTTCCAGTCTTAATTGTTGCTTTTGGTGAGAGGATTTGCTGAGCTATTTGTTTTTGTTTTTGTTTTTGTTTTTTTTCTGTGTGGTACGCGGGCCTCTCACTGCTGTGGCCTCTCCCGTTGCGGAGCACAGGCTCCGGACGCGCAGGCTCAGCGGCCATGGCTTCACGGGCCCAGCCGCTCCGCGGCATGTGGGATCTTCCCAGACCGGCGTCGGCAGGCGGACTCTCAACCACTGCGCCATAAGGGAAGCCCTTTGCTGAGCTATTTACTCAGCCATTCCAGAAGTACTCTTCACGTTATTTTTGACATTTTTATCCAAATTTAGTAGGCTTCTCAACATTTCCTGACAGTTTCATGTGTTAATAATTATATCCAAAATACAACTTTAGACATATTTGTCAATCTCATTTTTTTTCTTATATGTCTCCCTTTATGATTGCTCACTTGAAGCTACCCGGTAAAACTGAAAAAAGTCCATCATCTTGATTTTTGCTCATTCTTGATTTTCCTACAACACTTTGTTCAATGCACTATTCCCTTGAGCTGAGTGTACTTTTAATTTCATCTCTTATTTTAGGTGGCCTACAAAAGTGATTGCCATACTTGTTCTGTAAAGGCCAAGATTGTAAATACTTTAAGGTTTGTGAGTTATATGGCCTCTGTCACAATTACTCAACTGTGCCCTTTTAGCACAAAAGCAGCCACAGGTAATACATAAAGAGTTAGCATCACTGTGTAACAGTAAAACTCTATTTACACAAACATGGGGTGGGCTGGATTTGGCTCCTGGACCATAGTTTTTTGACTCTTGGTCTAGAAAAAAATCACCTTTTAAACTTGAAAATTTACACATTTGGGGAGTTTTTCATTTAGTTTGATTTATGTTTGAAAAAAAGGTGAATAATTATTTTTTAAATGAATAGTTTTTTTTTAAATAGGATGTCAATAACAGATCCAAGAATACTCTCTTTCAAATTAACTCCTGTAGTCCTGTTTAGGGCATAAGATATGTTTCCTAAATGATCATAGGAAACAGTTTTAGCAACTGTTTTGTCTCTTCTTATCATGGATGTCTCTACATGCAGCCAGTTTTATCTGTTTTGTCACTTCTACTGCCTAAGCATTAAACCAAGACCACATGCTTTTTAAGTGTTGGTTATGATATTTTGCTTTCATTTTACAATGTTGCCGAAATACCAGCTTCCCTGTGCACCGAGGCTGAACAGAAATACGGAAACAGGGATTTTGGAGGAAGAGAGAGATGGCTTTATTTTTCTGCCAGGCAGCAGGAAAGACACAGCAGGCTAGCGCCTCAAGAACTGTGCCCCCCCACTCCTTGGGAATCAGGGAAGATTTTATATGTGGGCCTCGAAGTCCAGGGTATATGATAAGGATCAAAGTAGTGAAGGTCTTGCCTTCTTCCTTTCCTTTGCATTATTTCAAAACAGTCATAGCTGGTGTCAGGCCCCTCGGTAACTGGGGTCCTGCAGTCTGGTAATTGTGTCCGTTTGCCTCTGGTTTATCGTTCGGTGACCTTGTTTCTGAAATGCAAAAACTATAGGGGGTGATTTGTTACGAGGGGTGTATGGAATGTAAGTGCTGGGACCTAATAAGCTTAGGAGTAAGGGGCACGGGTTGTAATTCACACAGAGCTAGGGGTGATAGGTACAGAATGTAAATTACATAGTGTCAGGGAGTGAGGTTAGCTTTGTCAAGTACAAATCTAGTTAGTACAAATTAGTGACAGTTAAAGTACACCAAGGAGTGATTAACTCTTTCAGGCCAGGTTATGTTTCTTTAGCCTGTTCGCTGTTCCCTTATTTTCCTTGTTCTCAGGGGAGGGAAAACTTCATTTCTATTTTTGCTGCAAGAACAACAGTACTTTCTGCATTGAGCAGTGTAATTAACTTTGATTTTTACAAAAATCAATTCCCATATCTCTGTGGTTTAACCACACTCATACAAATTTTATGAATATACCTGGGTCAGTGGCTCTCCTGGGCAACTCTCTTCAAAATAGTAACTCTGAGAACAAGTTTTTTTCCCAGTCTTCTGTATTCTCCATTTTAAGAGCCTTTTAGTTCTGGAATTGGGTGGGAAAGTGTTACAGTGAGAAGAAGAACAAAAAAAAAAATCACATGAACAATTTTCTTGTCAAGCCTAGAAATGATATGGTTCCCTGCTGAGCACATTTTATCGGTCACAACTCAGTCACATAGTCTCACCTAAATGCAGTGAAGGTGGTGAGAGGCAGACATGTAATTTTGCTATTTGTTTAAGAAGAGGGTAACTGTGAGTTGGGAATGCCTATAGTCTGCACCACATAAAGTATAAGTTAGAGGAAGTAATTCTTATAAGAATATTTAATAAGAAAAGCAGTGGAAACTTTAGTTCAAGCAAAAGTTATAGAATAAATTTGGATCCTTAGCAAAAGAAGTATCAAATAGAAGAAATTACCTCTTGGGGGCGCAGTGGTTGGGAATCTGCCTGCCAATGCAGGGGACACGGGTTCGAGCCCTGGTCTGGGAAGATCTCACATGCCACAGAACAACGAAGCCCGCGTGCCACAGTTACTGAGCCTGTGCTCTAGAGCCCGCAAGCTACAACTACTGAGCCCGCAAGCCACAACTACTGAGCCTGCGAGCCACAACTACTGAAGCCCATGCGCCTACAGCCCATGCTCCGCAACAAGAGAAGCCCCTGCTCACCACAACTAGAGAAAGCCCGCGCACAACAACGAAGACCCGACACAGCCAAAAATAAATAAATAAATAAAATAATAAATAAATTTTAAAAGAAAGAAAGAAATTACCCTCTTGTACCAGGAAATTCAGGCACTAGATCTGATAATACATATTTCTTTTCTTTTCAGACTGGAGGAAAGAATTTTTCCAGGCTGGTGAGTCCATTCCCTGATGGCCGAAGAGGGACTCTACTCCTTACTCTCAGGATCAGTCTCAGGATTTGTAGATGAAAGAGTCCACGTGGGAGTATATGCATGTCCCACAAGCTCAAAGATATCTCAGGCTAATACAAATAGTTTCTCGGCTTCCAGGATCCCTGTTTTTCAGAGATTAAAAGGGTTATTGTCTTTGCAGTGAATATTACTCTGGATCCAGCCACAGCACATCCTTCCCTCGCCTTGTCAGGAGGGAACAGATGTGTAACCTGGGGAGTGAAGTCTCAAGATCTACCTGAGGACCCACAGAGATTTTATTCCCTTCCCTGTGTGCTGGGTCATCAGGTCTTCACCTCCAGGAGGTGCTACTGGGAAGTAGAAGTCGGAGACCATGGAGCCTGGGACCTGGGAATTTGTAGGCCTCATGTAATGAGGAAGGGGAGGATTTGCATCAAACCTGAGAATGGTTTCTGGGCCATCAGGTTTTATAAGGATGAGTACTGGGCACTCACCTCTCCAGAAACACAACTTACTGTAAAGGAGCACCCTGTCAGAGTGTGTATTTTCCTAGAATATGAGGAGGGGCGTATCTCATTTTATAATATGATAGATAAATCCCATATTCACACCTGGTCTCAAGGCTCCTTTGATGGGCCCTTAAAGCCTTTTTTCAGGCTTTGGTCCAGTGATTCAGGGCATTTGACCATCTGTCCAGTGCCTGAAACAGTACAGAATCCCCTGTACTAGGAGTATCATATAAGCTGCAGGTCAGTGTGAATTGAAGCATCTGATCGTGACATGACTTCTAGACCAGAAGCAAATTATTTTTTCTTATCCATTTTTACGGTTGTCCCTATCCTTTTATATTCTTCATAAACAGCTCCCCCAAAGCATGGTGCAGGGTAAAAAACTGTGTTGTTTATGGTATGTGTAATGAAAACACTATTATATATATATATATATATATATATATATGCTCATATAATATAATCATATTATCACTGTAAATATACATAAGAAACTAGTGCATGTGATCGCCCATACAGTGTTGTAATTTCTTTAAGATTACAAACTTAAAATGACAAAGGTAGAAATAAGGGAAGAATACCTTTTTATTTTATACTCTTTTGTATCTGATAAAGGGAAAATTTATAAATGGAATGGAATATTTATAAATGGAACATTTCTTGCCATATCAATAAACAAAGGATGTCACAGTCATCAACGATTGCAGCCCTCCAACATGAGCTGGTGAGCCCTGAGGAAACTCAGCGTTGAAAAGAATACCTGCCATCTAGCAGCTGTCAGACTGCAGCCACTCCCTGAGGTGAGCCCTGAGGAAACTCAGGGTGTGAAAATACAAGATACTGGCCCCAGATAGCTGAGGTGCATATCAAAGGAATGATTTCAGTGAGCCCAGACTCATCTATGTATGCATCTTCCCATACATAGAAAAGAGCTAAATTCCTTAACTTGAGATATCCGGTTTTCTTTAATTAACAATAATCTTTTGACTTCCCGACTACCTGCCCTTTGTTGCAAAACTCCTGTATATCCTGGCTCCCCAAGAAGATGTGGTAAATTTATACAATGGAATATTATTCAGCCATAAAAAGGAACGAAATTGGATAATTTGTTGAGACGTGGATGGATCTAGAGACTGTCATACAGAGTGAAGTAAGTCAGAAAGAGAAAAAAAATATCGTACATTAACGTATATTTGTGGAATCTAGAAAAATGGTACAGATGAACCAGTTTGCAAGGCAGAAAGAGAGACACAGATGTAGAGCACAAACATGGACACCAAGGGGGAAAGCGGTCGGGGGTGGGGGGTGAATTGGGAGATTGGGATTGACATATATACACCAATATGTATAAAATAGATTAATAACCTGTGTATTAAAAATAAAATAAAATTCAAAAATAAATAAATAAATTAAATGTAATTTGGAAATTATTTGCCAATCAATTTACCTCCTCTTTTAATGAAAAACAAAAGCAATATCTTGGGCCACATGACACCTCCGGTGACTAGAAGTTAAATAGAAATGCAGTTCTGTAGTTCAAGAAAGAGATTGAACAGGAGATGTAGATATGGAAGTCATGAATATGTGGGTGAGAGCTGATTTCTAAGGCATAGATGGGAAATAATATTTAGGAGGAAAAGAGAAGAGAATCTAGGACTGAATCCTAGGAAACAAACATTTTAAAAGCCAGTATAAGGAGCGTCTGCAAGGAAAAAGAAATGATTGAGACAGATGAGTTGGGTTTGACATTACAAAAGCCAAAAAGGAGAAAGTGACAAGGAGAACACTGTCATCAGTAAAGTCCCATTCCTCAGCTAGATGAGTTATTTCATTCATATTTGTTTGGTTGTATGTTTACATATTTATTTATATGCTACCTTCTTCTAAACAACAATTTTGAACAGCTCTTTAAAAATTCTTTCAAAACAACAATACAGTACTAAAGAAATGAAATTAAGAAAAATGAAAAACAAGAATTAAAATGTAAAATAAAATCAAGAGAGTTTATATCCAAAATGCACAATTATTAGAAATATGTAAGCCACAAATGGACCTGAACTTCTAGCAGTGAATACAAGTAGGGAAACATGATCAATTACATTCATTCAACAAATATTTAATAAGCAGTCACGATATAAAAGGCATTGAAACCCCAGGCTCTGGGTATCCATATCCCTTATGGGACTTACACTCTGGAAGAGACTTGGGCATCAATCAAGTAATTAGGACTAACTAGAAATTGAAATAACTGCTCCAAAATTAAGGAAAGGGATTCTGTGATACCGAATAATGAATGCATCCCATTTAGACTGGAGAGAGAGCCTGAGGATCAACTGAATAAGTAGCAATGAACCAGAGAAGGAGTTCAGAGGAGACAGTAAGATTAAAAAATAAATTTGTTTCTCCATAGCAATGCCACTAGTATGTAGCCCCATCTTACACAAACAGTTTGGTTCTCAGGAAGGTAAAACTTATGCATGGTCAAAATAACCCTTGAAAATCCTTTATATTACTCATTAAGTACAGCTCCATGGCTAGGTTTGGACTAGCCTATGCATAAAGTAAACATGTGAATGTATAATTTCATAATAATGAACATAATATTATAAACAGGGTTGCAGTAAGTGAAAAAATGCATTTTAAACATTGAAATCACACTCAGTGCTTGAACAGGCTCAAATGGTGAGATACCCTGGGGAACAGAGGTCTCATTAGCAAACAAGAGTTAACATCTCCCTTTTCACATTCAAACAAGGTTGACGAGTCCTGAATCAAGTGAAATAGTTTTCCATTTACATTGCTGCCTTGTTCTGCTTGGTTCTTTTTTCTTTCCTTTTGCAGAAAATTCATAGTTGAACTTCTTTGCATTCCTATGATATTCAACCATTGCTTCCAAACTCTGAGGCCAGAGAAACCCTAGGGGTTCCTCAGAAAGAGAACATACCAGTTAATAGGTTGAGAAAGGTACCTTTAAAAATCCCTACACTAGGGCTTCCCTGGTGGCGCAGTGGTTGAGAGGCCGCCTGCCAATGCAGGACACATGGGTTCGTGCCCTGGTCTGGGAAGATCCCACATGCCGCGGAGCGGCTGGGCCCGTGAGCCATGGCCGCTGAGCCTGTGCGCCCGGAGCCTGTGCTCCGCAATGGGAGAGGCCACAACAGTGAGAGGCCCGTGTACAGCAAAAAAAAAAAAAAAAAATCCCTACACTAAGCCCAGCCATAAGTCCAGTCAGGTCATCCTTTATGACATTCCCTGGTGTGGACCAGGGCAAATGCCAAAAGCCAGGTCACAGAAGCAATCTCCAGACAGAATGAGAGGAAGTGGACCAGGGACCTAGCTTTCTACTAACATGGCTTGATCAGATGTAAGTGTATAGAGGACCAGATAGGTGTGTGCCCTTCATCACAGTGCTCCTCTCAGAGGAGCTTTTGTAAAGTACTGAGTGGCAGTATTCCCAGTCGCTCCCAGATGTGAGATTCATGTCTCTGGTGGTACCTGAGAGGATGATTTTAGCTGACACATGGGTGATAATCTTGATCAACACAGGATTATTACAGCATCCCTCCACCTCCATGGGAAAAGCCATGTGGTATGGAAAATTAGAGGAAGAAAAAGAGAGAAAGAAAAGAGGAAAGAAGGTGAGACTCCGTGGAATTGAAAGATAAGCCAGGGAACTCCCCCAGTGCGGAGGAAGAGATGTCCAGTCTGAGCCTAACCTGAGAGAGAGAGTTTTTCCCCACAGAGCTTTGAGTGGTGGGAGGACACACAGGGGGTCTCAATAAGGGGAAGCAGAAGTCTTTTGGGGATGTGGCCTCATGCGGAAACACCCTGACCTTCCTTCTGCGGACTCCTCCCCCTCTGACTAAAGAACTCTGCACTCCATCACATAGTCTTCACTGAGACCACACAGTGTCAGACAGGTGAGTGTAGAAGGTGATAGGCAACAATCAAATCAAATAGAGAGAATGAGGCAATGGAAATGCCAGCCAAGGACTCTTTGATTAAATGGATGCTGGACAGTACTCAGCTGTGTGGATGAGCAAGCTAATAAAATGGGGAAGGGGGAACTTCCCTAGTGAAGCAGTGGTTAAGAATCCGCCTGCCAATGCAGGCGACACAGGTTCGAGCCCTGGTCCGGGAAGATCCCACATGCCGCAGAGCAACTAAGCCCGTGCACCACAACTACTGAGCCTGCGCTCTAGAGCCAGCAAGCCACAACTACTGAGCCTGCGTGCCACAACTACGGAAGCCCACGCGGCCTAGAGCCCGTGCTCTGCAATAAGAGAAGCCACCGCAATGAGAAGCCTGTGCAGCGCAACAAAAAGTAGCTCCCATTCGCCTCAACTAGAGAAAGCCCGCACGCAGCAACGAAGACCCAACGCTGCCAAAAACAAATAAATAAATTTATTTTAAAATATATCAGCCATGAAAAAAAACGCTTTCCGTTTAATTAAATGTTTTCTTAACATAATAAAAGGCACAGAAAAGTACTTTGCAACTTTGACCAATATAACTTCAAAAAAACTGATAACAAAATTATACATCTACATAACATTTATATCAGTCAATTCTGACAAAGCACTACCATACTGATGACCTTAATCATTCTTTCTGGAAATACTTAGGCAGCTGGTCCCCTTGTTTAAAAAGATTACTCCTCTGTTGTGTGGATAATTCGTATCACACGAACATCTTCCTTTTCTCTCTGTTTCAAAGGAAATATGCCCATAGCTCATCCAAAAGTAATATAGTGTCATAAAGGTATAAGATAAATGGAAGAGGGGATAAATATAACAGAAAATATATTAACATAAAGAATACTTAAAATCCACATGAGGACCCCAAAGAGTACGCTTGTGTGACTTCAGTGTTGGGGTAACCATTATAATGAATCTGTCAATGCCTCAACTACTGTTTCCCACGCACTGGGGGCAGGGCAGGGCCCTTCTCTAAGCCACACTGCAGTTGAGATGTTTATATCAGAGTCCAGTCAGGAGACAAAAACCACATCAGTCATTTGAAAGGGGAAAATTGAGATGAAGAACTATTAACTACCAAAAGGTAGCTAGCTTATAAAGAAGGGAAAGAAAGCTCTAAGGAATACAGAACTAGCAGATATGGGGAAAACACACTGCCTCTAGGGCTGAGGCATACCCTGCACCTTTGGCCACTCAGCTTCCACACACACCATTTTAGACACAGTTGAACTTCCACGTAACA